TTTTAGTAGAAGCCGCGGGACAGATTAATTTTCGATGAACTTTTAGCTTTGTTAGAGAAACTAATAATTATGCAATAACTGTTTTTTTTTTTTTCGAAAAAACTACAGAACAGTCTAGAATAACAAAATGTAGTAATCTGATGGTTCCTGAATTATGTCTTTCTTGGACTTCAACTACTAACAGGAACAGATCAGTTATCCCTTTTAGCAGACTACTGGAAAAAACATTGGTTCCTCGGTAGGTACGTGCTTTCACCATTATATATCCAGAAATAGATTTTTATTAATTTTGAGATGTTTTCGATAATTAATGACAATAATTTCAACGATCAATTAGGAAAGATACGTTGTCTTTTGGATTATATGAATAAGTAAAAAGATGAAATCTACTCACAGTCCAGGAAAGGAGAGCTGTCCCTAGATGAATCAATGGTTCTATGGCGAGGACGTCTGCAGTTTATTAAAATTAAACGTCATAAGTATGGTATATAAGCTAATGGATTGGTGCTGAAACTTATGATATAAGCCGGGACAACTGATGAAACCCATGGATCTGACCATGCTGCTGAAATTGTGCTAAAGTTAACAGTATAAGTATTGATTATATCAATACTAATACTACAATAATTAATCAGTTATTGAATAGTATTGGTATTGATTATTCAGGTAACATTTGTTATTTCAGGTACCTGTCCTCAGTGTATATTCAAATACTTGTTTTAGGTTAGGTCAAAAGTGAGTGGGTCTATTCGACCCTCAACCGTAACCCGCAAGAGTTTATTGTAGCTCACACCTATTCACACGCGACCAAATAAACCCAGCTTCTCAACGAAGCCGATTAGTTTGTATGAAGTACTTGTCTTAACTTGATGTATTGGTTATTTGAAAATGGTCTAATAAATCGAAACCGGTCATGACAAATAATAAACTTAGTAAAAATTAGACAAAAGTTATTTTCTTTATTCTATATTCAATATGAATTTCAACAAAATATATAGGTCTTCAATCAAAGAAGGTAATTTCTACACTGGTACGAAATTAGCCGTAATGCTAACCTGTTGTATAAGCAAGTTAAAAAAAATCTCAAAACAAATCCAAAAGGCGTTACTAGTTTAAAATTGAAACGAGGAGAGAATAAATCGTTTTTTTGTAATGATGTCTATGTTAGAAACTGGAAAGATCAATGAAATATATATTATATATCTCAACAGAGTTTGGAAATATATTGCAGGAGTCGGCAAATAGGCGATGGCTCCAGAATAGCGATATTCTGAATTACAATAGTCATATGACTGGTATAAAAAAAGTTTATCTATATTTTGCAGATGAACCTGGTGAATGGCCATTTTCTCTACAATAAATATTCTGGCCAGGGAAAACCTTTGTATGACTTCACAATGTCAATTTTAGAAGAATTTTTGCGAAGGTAGAAAATATTTGTCATTACATATGGCAGGGCAGGTCTGAAAAAAATTATATAAATAACAGAAGAAAAATATTCACGTGTAGACAAAGAACAATAAAAAGTAAATGAATGCTACAGAAAGAGTTTAGGTTTTGCATAATTAAAAAAAATGCCATGATGTTTGTGATTCTTGTGAAGGGGTTCCCGGTTTTTATGTAGTGTTTCTTCAAATACCACAGACAACTATGACACCTATATGTGTAATTGGCATCTTATTTAAAATTTGGATTAGATTTGCCTACTGCACCCATGGGTGTAGGTATTATTTTTTCAATTTAGTTACAAACAAAATTTCTTTATCAGTTAATAAATATAGTTCAATAAGACTGTCTTAAGCCGGAATTACATTATTATGTTGTGGTGTGTTGTGATGCTCTCTGATGTGACGGTGAATATGCAGACTATTCTGTCGTGTCGGGACGCGCTCTGACGTTATTTCGAGTCAATACAGTGGCTACCTTTGGAGTAAACGCACGCGAGCATCTACAATCCCAGCAAACAATGAATCTCTGGCCGTCTTCTGGCCCAATGCATGATCGGTCGGCAATACGCTGGCAACGGCAAAGCTACATAGGCAAAATGTCGGCCCAATGTATGTCATATTGTAATCGTATACCTACAATCCAGCCAGCAATGGGCCAATACTATCAAAATTGTGTCTTTCGACCGACATCATAAAAATGAAGGCCCGTTTCAAGTGTTATTGAACAAAATTTTTAGGACAAAGCCGGCAGAGGAAGGGGGAGATGATACGCATTGAACATTTCAATATTTGTTCCTTCATACCAAAGAACTGTTTTTATGTTGTTTCCTTTATTTCATTTAATATTTGTGATATTTTTTACTTTATTTAAACCAAAGAATTGTTTTTATGTTGTTTCCCATACATGTTAGGTATGTGTATTTTATTAAAGTATATATGTATAAACTTTGGAACATTCTCCAGTTTTTTGTGATATTTTTCTATGAAGTTCATTTTGGTTCAATTGCTCAAGGTAAATTTGAACTTTTTTTTCACTCAAAATATATAAAACTTTATTCATTATCTCAGAATTCGAGCATATAGCTCGAGAGTTTTTGGGAGATTAACGATAGTCGTTGCCGACCGATGTTTCACCCTTTTTACTCCCATATACACCTACGACGTAGGCTAAATATGGCAAATACCTATTAGAAAACAACTACTCCCCTGGCTAATACCACGACGGGTATTGGATTACATCTAACAAATACTTGTGCAATGTTACTCATTACAGAGGACACAATTGCAAGTGCTTCCTGTAACCAACTAGTAGAATCCTGTACCGACCCGGACTTGCACTGATGATAGGCAAAAACCTTGAAACCGGTCTGCTGGTGATCCCCCTGTCCGTGTCGGTACAGGATTCTACTAGTTGGTTATAGGAAGCACTTGCAATTGTGTCCTCTGCAATGAGGATCATTGCACAAGTATCTGTTAGATGTTATCCAATACCCGTCGTGGTATTAGCCAGGGGAGTAGTTGTTTTCTAACAGGTATTTGCCATATTAAGCCTACGTTGTAGGTGTATATGGGAGTAAAAAGGGTGGAACATCGGTCAGCAACGACTATCGTTACTTTATTCATTATTTTTCAATTAAAAGGCAATCAGTAAATGTGTATAATTCACAGTGGTCCAACCCTCTGAGTAGGTAACTTCCATTGCAGTATTTCTACTGGGCCATCAATGATTTCCACAGTTTTGCCTGCAGAGGCCCGTCATTTAAAAGACACTGTTGCCAAGCATTGGCCCTGATGATGGCCGGTGTCTCCTATTTTCACTGGCCCGCCATAGGCTATAGGTGCTTTGCCGTTCAGGCCAGATCTGGCCAGCATATTCTGGGCCGGAATAAGGCCGATCAAAATTGTTTGCTGGGATGTTTTCTGCCGATTCGGACAGTGATATTGAAGAAAACCTTGCGTGTCTGCTAATGTAAAGTTTACTTAAATAGAAAAAAAAATGGAAAAAATTGGGTTCATCCAGTAAATGATCTGAGAGGTAGTCGAAGCGAATATCATTCACTAGTGATGAAAGATTTCATCAATATTTCAGGATGTCAAAAAAATCAATTTATATTACATTCTATGTTAGAAAATGATATTAACAATGCAAACCACTATTTTCTAACAAGTTCAATAAGCTCGTCCGACATCTTGTGCAAAAATGAATGCAAACGACTATTCTCTAGCTAGTTAACGCGTCAGATTAGAAACATACACATACTAGTGTGGAGTGTTCTGACGCGTCATAACCCCACCATCGTTCTGACGTCGATCAGGAATCGACCGATCGCGTCCTGACACACTGCATTTTAGTAATATAATTCTAAACATACTAAATGTATGTTGTGTATATACTTGTGGCGCGTCACGACACACCACAACACAATAATATAATTCCTGCTTTATTAAAATTGGGTGCACTATACATTATATAAGATAGTGGCAGTGCTACAAAAATTCAAAATATAGGTAGGCATTGAACGTATGCTATCTGTAAATATCAATATTAGGCTCATCAAACTCTGCTGTCCATACATTATAGGTACCCTATACAACAAATATTGTTAATTGTTGTTCGACAGAAGGTACTGTTCTAGAGGAATGGAAAAGAGTAGTTGTGAGATTTGTACAAAAAAAAAGATCCAATTGAACACAAGGAGTTGAGAGGCTTAAGTATATTACCAGCTTTTTCAGCTGTGCAACTATTCATCTGAATATTCTCTATTGCCCCATATCCATGCGATTCAGATGATTTTTTCATATCCAAAGTTCAAGGTTCATGTACAGCTTTAGTGTTACTTGATTTCAGCCGCGCATTTGATACAATAAATCATAATTTAATGTTAGTTATTCTTCATTATTTAGGATTATCAAATAATGCTCTATCACTTCTGTGCTCATATCTCTGGAAGGCAACAGAAAGTGAAAATTAATATTATTCTCAATGCCTCAACCTGATGTCTGGAGTTCCCCAGGGATCTATACCTAGACTTTTGTTTTCAATTTATACTTCATATCTACTAACTTGTCTCAAGAATTGCTTGGCTCATCTATAAGCAGATGAACAAATTAATAAAATGATAAGATATATAATCATTGCTTTGACTGGCGATTTTATCGTTTTTTTTATATATGTGTGTACATGTTTGTGAATATATATATGTAAGTATACAATACATATGTATATTTATTTGACTACGCCAAGCAAAATTGCCACATTTTTTATTTATTTTTTTAGATATTTTATACTTATGATAATTTTTTTTTCATTTCATTGAATTTTGGATACCATTTATCCACCACATACAAGCATCTGATGCTTCAGTTGCTAATATATTCATCTGCATGAATTTTATATTAGTATGAAAGTTCGTAATAACATATGGCAAATAATAGTAATTATCATTGGTTGAAATTGCCTTTGCTAAAATGTCATAGGTCTAGCAGTTTTGAGATTTTAGACCATCAACCCTAGGCAGCCACAATACCTAGAAAAAGTACATAAACAACTGATTTTCAATATAATTTTTTAATGTCAAGTATAACGAAAAGAAATACAAAACATTTATATTATTCCAATTTTGTTAGCTACATCCAATGCATCATAGTCCCTAGCTAACCTAACATAAGCCTTCTTTTTACCATCAGGCCTTATCAAAGTGTTTACTTTTGCAACATTGATGTCATACAATTTTTTTACGGCAGCTTTGATATGGTATTTGTTAGCTCTTGTATGAACCAAGAAAACCAGGGTGTTGTTATCCTCAATTTTTTTCATGGCTGCTTCGGTTGTCAGAGGGAATTTAATGATATTATAGGCATCCATTCGTGACCTAGTAGGAACACTCTTCCTTGGGTATTTTGGTTGCCTTGGGGGCCTCAAAGTTGTTGGGCGATGAAAGTGGACAGAGGTACGGATTTTGCGGCTGTGGGTACCATTAGGACCTTTGATGACCTAAATAAAAAAAAAAAATTAAGAGGAAAATTAATTCGAAGGATTTGATCTATATTTCTTTCAAATTATCAGAGATGTGTTATAGTTTTTTTTCATAATAATCTCAAAGAGATTCCCACACAATCCCTCATCATTTTTGTAATGAATACAATGAGATTTATTGAAAAATTGATCACGTTGCTTGTAAACAGCAGTAGTGTTCCAATTGTTGTGTAAAAAGTTTTGTGTTGTTTATTGTCAAAAAATACAGTGCAATTCAATTGCTTGTCAAAGCTTTTCATGAATAAAATGTATTCTACAGTTATTCATACAACTTCATTTCAATAAGAAAAGTGTATAACTGCAACAATATCACAATACAATAAAAGTCAAAATAGTGAATTTAAATATGTTTTATAGAATAGAAATTTATTCATCATTAAAAATTTCATACATGTAGTACATACAGATATAAAACTTTATCAGACTAGTCAAAACAGAACATAAAGCAACTGCGCTTATCTATAGTTACAATGTCTATATACATGTTAGCAGTTAAGTAGACATATGAAAAGATGCAAGAATGGTGATTAGCTTAAATTAGTTAAAATTCTAAAATCTATATATTTGCAAGAGTAAAGTAAAGTAATTATACAATAATACCTAGAGTTGTAGAAATTCCGTGTTAGAAATCACACGTTAATAAGACCTCGTTAATCCTTAGCTCACACAAGTTTTTCAACTTCTGAGAGTTGTCGTTCGTATGGGGGGCGACAGCTGATTAACAGAAAAATAGATTTTAAACAGAAGAGTAGGTACATTTATTCCAATACAAAATACTGAAAATAAGAATTCCACATCAATTACTAAGAGTCGAGGGAAGAAAAAATATTAGAAAATTGTTATAAAAGATGAAATAAGGAAAATATTTCGGAGAGCAACATTCAATCTTGAGTCACTGACAAAGAAAAAGTTGTTTTACGGTGGTACGATTCGTGACCTAATTCTCAGGTGATGAACTGTACAATCAACTGAAAGAGAACATGCATAGTTATCCGTAAAGAAATGAACATAGTCTGGAGCCACCTCTAACCAGGGAAGTAACAGAAAAGATGAATCACAGCGAAATTACCAATACCAATGAAAGAGATAAGCATTCACTACAGTTAATTATGGCACATAATTAAAAAATCTTACAACGTGGGAAATGGATATAACTTCATGAACACAAGACATAGACAGTGATAGACATAACAATAGATACTACATTTATAGGTAACGGTGTTGGGAAATAGAATAGGTTGGATTAGGAAAGTTGTTCAGATACATACATGGCACTGGGTAACAGACCATTGCATGAAGGCCAATATGCATACAGGTCAGGTACATCAACAGAAACAGCTTTTGTGTCAACATAAGATGCAGGTGTATAGACTGCATACTTAGAGGAAGATTGGTGTACATGATCATTATGGAAAAAACAGTAGTTTCGCGGGTTGCATTGGGTTGTCCCCAAGGAAGGAAGTTGACCCCATTTTTATGAAATCTTGTAATTGATGACTCACTACTGCTTCTGGACCATAATATATGTACTGGGTGTAAATCGATTAAGCTCGCCCCATTACTTTTTTGTCTCTCCTGGTAGTAATGTTGTGATATACTGGAATTTAATCCCAACACCAAACTGTTATTTTTAACACTTCGACACGTGTTCCAACCACCACGTGAGCATCTTCAACAGGAAGTTTAATCTTCCTCTTCTCTGAAGGTCACACTTGCTTTTAGTAATTAAAGTTAATTTCCATACTTTAGACACCTAAGCATTAGAGCCTTTGAAAGGTTGGGACTTACTTATTATACTATTATTATTTGGGTTGAATGGGGTTAACTAATTTTCAGAAATTGAAGACTGTGAACAATATGTGTTGTTCGCCGAAAAAAGGTACATAGTGTGCACTGTCAAAAAATAAACTTAACGATAGCTTTAAACACTTGAAAGCATACTCTTTCACCTTTTTTAAACCTTTATTTAGTAATTGTATGTTCAAAACCATTAGCTGAAAAACAGTACAGGTACGACAGATTCGTTATACGATGCTGATGCGAGATCTTTTCAGTTGTGTATCATTCAAATTCTCGTCAAACTAAGCATACTCTGTTTCACAATTTTCTGATGTGATATTTAAAACAGAACTTGCACCTTCATTACATACCGCATCGTATTCACATCAACCGCTATGAACTCTTTATCGAAAACATCTTTTCTTTTTGAAATCATCATTGGCGTTCATTATAATAAAATAGAATTCTCACGAAAATTAGTAAACTGAGAAAAACATTAGTGATGATGAGAGAGGAAACCCAGAAACAAAAAGGTTTCGTTAATCAGCTACAATGCAACATAATAACAGGCTGGATTACTGAAGATATTGCCACACTAAAATGAGAATAAAGATTGCAGATTGAATGTCGTCACAGATGCCCATGCCAATGATATCAAAACCTTACACCCTACTGAAGGCGTGTACATAGTAGTATTACACTACAAAACTTAAAATACATTTTTCTTAACAAGAGTTTCCATAATAAACTGATAAATAATACATACTGACACAGTGAAACTTACCTTCTTTTGCACCTTCAACGCTTTGGAAATAGGAGCAGATGCGGCTGATTTTTTACCAACACCCTTTTGCTGTTTAACTGGAACATTTTTCTTAGGTTTAGCAATCAGAGCCTTAGGTGGAGCCTTAGCTTTACCAGGTGCAGCTTTTGCTGCAGTTGGTTTCTTCGTTGCAGGTTTGGCTGCACCCTTTGTGGCTTTACCTGCCGGAGCTTTAGCAGTGGTCTTTGAAGCTGTAGCTTTTGTTTTGGGGGCAGCAGCTGGAGCTTTACTTGATGATGCTGCTTTGGCAGCAGCAGGCTTAGGTGCTGGAGTTTTAGAAGTTGCAGGTTTTTTGTCTGCTGATTTGGCAGCTGCTTTTGCCGCAGCTTTCGGTGCTGGTGCAGCCTTTGATCCAGAACTTGAACCTGAGGCAGCGGCAGAGCCTGCAGCAGGTGCCGATGCTGGCTTTTTCTTTTCTTCTTTTTTGGCAGCTAAAACATAATCCTGTTAATAAAATTAACCTCAATCACGTACCGCCGTATTCTAGAAATTCAATTAATCAGTATGTGTTGCAAATGTTTTCAAAGTATTCAAAGAGATTCCCACACATAAATCATCATGTTTACGATTCCACCCCGATACATTTACTTATCCAACATGTTTCTATAACCACATGGTCGACTGAAATTTAAACCAACCTTACAGAGACGTAAAAAAGTTTAAATCATTGAATATTATTCGAACCCATATAGTAGAAACTACTCAAGTCTGAGAACTAATAAAATAACTTAAAAGTAAGTAATTACCGGACTTATCCGCTGATTTTGGCTTTGAAGGTGCCATCTTCACAAATACTTATAATGAAAGGAAGCTTACTAAAAAGAAAACGTAGATATGACAGATGAAGTATGACAATTTAAGAAAACGGAAATAACTGAATTTGACTAGTGTTAGATATTGTTGAGGGAAATTTAAATTTATGTTATTTAAATTATTGGAAAAAAATCCGATTATGATAAATGTGCGAAATTTAAAATATATGAAATAAGGTGTATAATTACAATTTATTGATTTTGAAATGAGTTTAGACTGCCGCATAGCGGATGGAAATGAAAATTAAGTTTTTATTACAATACAAACATTCCTACATCAAAAATACAAATAAATTATAGAATATCATGCCTTGTGTTCGAAACAGTAGTTAGTATAAGAATGTTTCAAGAAGTTTCATGCGATAGAAGAATATGCGATTTTCCGAAACCATTTAGGATGGATTGCACACCCTACAAAGAAAGAGATTTCAGTAAATTCGCATACGACAACTTAGAACTTGAAACTTCATTTAAAGTAGGTGGCTGCTTGAAAATTTGTAAAATAATTATTGTGGGAGACGCCTCAGTAGGAAAAACTTGTATAGTAAACAGGTGAGTTTGATTAGTATTATTATTCATAAACTGATAAAAATGTTCATATGGATGCTGCTCGTATAATGAATCTCTAAAATGCGTAATTTAGATTATCAAACTGTTTGCCACCAATAAGTTTTATTGTAGTTTCAACTAGTTATGGGAGAATTCGGTCATTCGATAATTGCAATACCTCGAGATTTCTCGAGAACTTGAAAGGGACCATTCGAATGATTTTCGAATGGTAGATTTCAGACCTCTTTCAGGTATTTTATCAAAATAGAGCTCTGGCACAGATAGGCTGAAGCATTAAAGACACTAAAACTGAAAATAATCGAACGAGTTAATAAAAAATATAATGTCGAAAAAAAAATTAAACAATTTTTCTTAACATGACAGGTTTAAAGGTGTTATGAAATGATAAAAAATAAGTAAGTAAACAAAGAAATGATGATGAAAACGACAGGAGAAGGAAAATAGATAAAAATGGTTAAACCAAGTTGATTCTCAATGTTTTATTGTTAGTAGGTATATTCACAACCGAATATTTCGGTCATCCTAGTATCTTTAATAAGTAATTTTCTTTTTGTTTTTTTATTTTCATTTGGGGTTAGGTAACAACAAATATGAACGAATGATAGTACGGCAAGTGAGAAAATTTTGTTGAAACTCTGCTTCAATTATTTAATCCAAACTGAAACATAAAAATAAAATCAATCATCACCGCTCATCAAGTAAGAAATCAATAAACGCGTAGTACATCGCTTACATAATATATTTGAGTCCCTAGGATGGGATCTCGAGTTTACATTATCATATTTATCATTTTGATTCGCTTTTTCTGAACATTCGAATACCTACACATAATTCGTTTCACAAATTAATTCGATTTTGTCCATTACGAGTGTTAACAAATATACGCAGAATTTGAAGAGCGTAAAGTTTGAAAAGCGTAGGAATTGAAAAGCGTATATAGCAATCTAGAAACATAATGTTTTTCATGTGTAAATACCACGAGAAACTGACCAATTGAGAATGTTCTCATTTTTATTTCCCACACAAAAAAGTTTTTGTAGGTTAATTATTACTTTATTTTCAATTCTTCGGGAAATATGAAAAAAATTGCTGAAGGCATAGAGGGGGGTAGTAAAGGGTTCAGTTTTATCACTGAAATAATTTCTCAACTCAAAACGGCATAAGTGCAATGAAGTTGTTTTTTCACCTCCTTCATAGAAACAAAAAAATTATACTAGTTTTATTAATATTTTCAGGTTTTAGTTTCTCGATGCAATTACGGGAAAATGTTAATGAAGTATTTTGTTCCTCAATGGGTACGAAAAACTTTCTATGAGTCGTTTCGATAATAACAGTTTTTAGTTACCAAAAATAGCCAAAAATGTCCAGTCCCGAAACTATTTAAGAGTATTAATTCCTAAAGGTCGTACTATAATATTAATTGTTTACGTATTCGCAAAGTTATTCATTTAGCGCATTTTAAATGGACTGCCTATGAGTGCTAAAAGCGTATTAATATCGTTGAAAAAACTAACATGCAATTGCATTAGTTGTACGGATCAGCTGTTTACCATTCGATGCCGCCATTTTTTTAACACAGTACTTTCGTCTATTTATTCACTTGAAAATTTATCTTTTGCAATAAAACTGATTGATGTATTTGTTGGACACAATGAAAACGATTGGTCACGAGATTTGTTCTATTTTAAATTGGAAATGTTTTTGAATTTATGTGAATTGATTTGTTTGATGAAAAATTATTACCAGAATAATATTTATACATTTTTTGAAATTTTTCAACGTACATTTCAGTTGTCAACCTTTTTTAACTATCGAAATATCTATTATGATATCTGGGAAATACGAATAAAATTGTTTGCTGATGATAGGTTATGTTGGTGAAACAGACCCGCCTTGGGCGAAAAGTGAGGCAAATCGATTATGTAGGCAACCCGCATATGTTATTGATATCTATCTCTTTTTATCTTATGGTGGTTAATGGAACTGAAGCGCAACATTTTGAATATATTTAAATTTTTTACGTTTATTTTGTCGAAAACGTGTATTGGTTCTGAACAGTTGCTTAGGAAGGAAGTAATAATAGAAATAGTACAATGTTCAAAAAAAATTCCACTGTTTTTTCACGGAATTGGTAAATAAAATTAAAACCAAATTAGAAATTTTTTATTTAATATTCCAAAACATAGCTATTTCTACTTATATCTAACAGTCAGTAAACGTCAGTAAAATTATGTCATTTTTTGTCTTACTGTGGCACTTTTTCCATACAATTGTAAATTTACCAATTTACTGTGGTGATACATTCGACTCTTTATATATATGGCAGTAACTTTCCGAATGATCTGGATTTCATGACATTCTTCACCTACAAATTCCTGAATTATAGGATGTCTAGTTTGAAAATATTTATATTCACAGCAAAATGATTTATTACTGTGTTTATAATTTTCTATTTAAAGTTTATTTTCGAGTTAAACATGTCCTTAGTTTCTATAGATAGGCGAATTTATTTTTCCACAAACTGTTAAGTTTTGTAAACCACATCTGAAGCATAAAGAAGACCTTCTCGAGTGACAAAATTGGTGAACAATTTATGAGATTCAGGAGGGGCAGTATAAGAGTGGTCAATTGATATAGTATCTCTATGGAGTAATATTTCAATAAAATATCCAGAAATATAAAACACATTTTTTTAAAAATTCACTCAGTTTTTTTCGTTCAAACGCCTAATTGAATTAGCGTTAGACGTTTATTAAACCACACGACAAAGGAAGAGAAACTAATAGCACCCTAGAACAACATAAATGTATATCTTTACAAATATTATACTCTTTGAATAAATATAATCCCAGAAATAGCTGAAATTATATCTAAAAGGTATTTTATGCATCAAACCATTACTTATTTGATTGAATATGACAAAGAAATGTCACCATAAATCAGTGAAATGTATACTATACGTACGTATAGAGTTCATTGCCATAAATAATGCCCTTGAAACACTTTCTGATTCACAGAAAACGGGTCGGGTGCGTTCCAGGTAGTATACAATTCACTGGTCTAATGATGGTACCAGGTATTTATATAAGGGGAGTTTTGAAATGTCAAAGATTTTGGCCGCCATATTTGTGATGTCATTGGAGGAAAATAGCACTAAATTTAAATTGATATAGTATCCATATACTCATAATTCATTTATTTCCTATTTGATACATTTATGATCTTGCAAATGTTTGAAATATAGGTGGGGAAAAAAGGTTGAATGCAAGAATTAAAATTAATTGAATGAATATCACAACTTCTTCAATGATTCATACAATAAAAAATATTATAATGCAGTTAGATCACAGACAGGTATGAGTATTTTTTAAAAGTTACTAGGTGTGACTTATTATTTTTTATATTCTTACTATAATTCTCAATTTTTTTTTATATTTGATACATCTAAAAAGAAATTATTTATTTTTAGATTAATTATTACATTTTTGGGTGAACACCTTCAATTATATAGTAATGTAGGCTTTCACGACTGGCGTCAATGTTTTGGTTGGTTTCCGGGTTTTGCAGTGGACTTCTATGGTTATAATCTTGAAACGTTTCGACTGCAACTGCGGTAGTCATCTTCAGTGGCGTTTAAAATCTGTTTTCCGGTAATCAGCTGACGCCCCCATACGAACGAATATTCTCAGAAATTGAGAAACTTGTGCGAGCTAAGGACTAACGAGGTCTTACCTTTTAACGTGTGATTCCTAACGCGTGGTCGAAGTATTCTTCTTGACGTGTCAATCTGAAACAGAAGGTGACTGCCGCAGCATATAACCGTTCCCTATTAAGTATAAAAACCTTCTCTGATTTGTGAGACTTTTACAGATTCACAGATTCACTCTTTCCAAATTCAAATAATCACGAAAGTTACTATTGTTTCTTTGGTACTTAGGGAAAATTTTCAATAGCGATATTGACCCAGCAGTTGAAACATTCTATAAATTAATTGAACAAACATAAGCACTCCTTGTCCTGCCGAAACGAAAAACACCATCATCTTATCCTGCATAGTTTTCTCGTGAATTGAAACAGCTCATCAAAGAAAGGAAATTCGCTCATTTCCAGTACAAAAAAGACAGGTAAAACGAATCATACATTCGGTTCAAGATTTAAGGAAGTTTCCGGCGAGTGTCGTAGGCCCTACAATGCCAATTTGAAAAAGGAGATACATTCTGATTCAGTGATGATGACATTTCAGCTCTGCCTAACGAATTAATCTGTGGTCCAGATAATGCCAGTTTCTACTTTTTGAAAAAAAAATGCATCTTTACTTTATGTAGACCAATTCACCTTTTATTTAACAAATCACTCCGACAGAATGAATTCCCTAAAATTTGGCTTACAAGCTAAATAGTTTCAATTTTTAAGAATGATTGTTGAAGTGATGTCGCGAACTAACGGCCATTAATTATTCAATTCCTAAAC